CAGCAGGAAGAGTCAAACAGTTTACTAAACGGTGGCAACTTCTTTAAGTTATTCTTTACTGTGTTGTATTGACTGCTTTGATGCGTTGCAATACGGTATGGCATTGTTTTGATTCTTACTTCAGAAAAAAAAAAAAATTTTGCTTTTATTTTATTTATTTTTATTATTTTATTTTTCTTGCACACACACTCACACACATATTTAGCAGTTATCTGCCATCACCTACCTCTCTTATAATGCCATACCTCTCTTATAATTTACTTACCATTTTCACCAGTGTAAATCATTGAGGGAACAAAGACTTAAAATCATCCAAATTATATAATACTCACCAACATTTGTCAAAATCAGGCAGTGACGACCCTAACTGCATTCTCCTCCGGGCAACATCTAGTGGATATCTGTGCAGAAATATTAGAAAGAATGTTTTATACAGAATGTAAAATGTATGTACAGTAACTCAAATGCATATATGTAGCATACCTTTTATTATTTACTTCAGTTTAAAACTAAATAATGGTTGTAAAATAGAAAACTACAAACAAGGGATTTAAAAACAAAATAAACATACGAAATAGTTTGAGCAATTGCTCCAGCAACTCCACCACACATCAGATTGACGTGAGTCTTCAGCACTAGAACATCAGGGTTGTCAAGCGACGGCTTGCCTAAGAGCTCTGGAAAGCGAGTAAGTCCCAGAGTCTTCAATGTACCAAAAGTGAAAAATGAAAAGCCTGGAACATAGAGAAAACAGTGACATGAGGCAGTAAACTAAAGTAAAAAATGTTTTCAGTTGCGTGAGAAGTGTTCAAAAAGTTTTTCTGCACATTGTCCTGTATAATTTACATAAAATAAACAAGAAAATAACCTGCATATGGAGCCATGCCAATGATTGTGGGGGTCAGACCACGGTAGAATCCAGAGATTCCTCCTTCCTTTAAAGATAAAACACTGTCATGCAAAATGGAAGCACAGAAAGGTTCTCAATTAAACTTCTTTCCTGTCTTCATACCTTAAGGTAAATAGTCTGAAAGGCATTTCGTATGCCAGTGTAGCGATGCTCTCCTGTCACTTGAAACGCCAAGCGTGCTCGGATAACATCGAGTGGATAAGTGAAAATAACTGCAGTCATCCCTGCAGAAAGAATATAATGCAGATAAATACATAACACTTATCATGAAGTTACAAAGATCTTGGAAAAGAGTCATGGAAAACAATCCCAAACCTGCCATAGATCCTGCCATGAGCCGATGAATATGCCCAGATATTCCAAGTTTTGTGTTAAGGAACTGAAAGTACATCAGAAATAGCTTAGTGCAATCATTACATAATCTAAACAGAGTGTAAACTTGGCATTAGTACAAAATTTTGTATTGTTAACATTGAAGTTGGGAAAGCTACATTGAAATTGCTACAAGGTACTGAAAAAAAAAAAAGTTAAGCTACTGACAAAAAGTGACCATATACAGTAATTTCAAATATATAACCATTAGATAAAATAATTGATTTTACTCAATATAATTGAGTAGTATTTATCAAGCCCAATCTCATTTGTAGAGATACACTTACAATGAATACAACTAATAAAAAAGTGGAAAACTGTGTTATTGATACCAGAATAAAACATAAAATGTCCCACACAAACTACCTCAACTTCTCAAATAAATCTGTGAATCCTTTTTTGAACTGGATCACTGAAATAAATCATGAATTAACCAAATCCTTCAAATGAATCAGACTAGTGCTTCACTTGAGGACAGTTTAGGAGATTGTGTTTGATTATTGCCTATTTTTATGCCTGCATGTGCATTACAATGTGTCAAAAACCGCAGAAGTAGTACTGGAAAAGCTATGGTATTCTGAACAACTGTCACACTACTAAAAATATAGCTATGTTAGGAACGTCACTATGTTTAGTTTGTTATTCCCCAAGACTATGAAACAAAAGTTACCTTTTTGTAGTTATCAAAAGCCATAAACTGAATGGCTCCATATGGGAAAATCCTGATCATCATGGCTCCATTTCCTTTGTATAGTCCAAGGAAACCCTCTTTTTTTGGCACTGCCTTAAGTGTGGCCAACACTCCTGGGAAAAAAAAAACACAAGATAACATCAACACATTCAACCGTTTGGTGTATTCTAATGCATAGTTCTTTTACAAATCAAGTTGCACGAAAATATCTGTCCATCAGAAACATTCTGGGTTTAACTTACCAAGGTGTTTGTAATGAGGATTTTGAGCTTGTAGTAAAATTTTCACTCTATCGAGAGGCGCTATGGTGGACTTGGCACAGCACCCTGCAACACCTAAAAATAAAAAATAAAAGGATTAATGTTTAATCCATAAGTAATTCATTTTAAAGTAAAAACAATCATAATAACACACTCATTAGAAAAGATAACATATTTTATTTGTCTACCTGCATGTCATGTGACCATTAAAGGAATAGTTCTCCCAAAAATGAAAATTTGCTGAACATTTACTCACCCCAGGCCATTCAAGATGTAGATTTATAATTTGTTTCTGCATCAGAACAGATTTTGAGTAATTTAGCACTACATCACTTGCTCACCAGTGGATCCTCTGCAGTGAATGGGTGCCGTCAGAGTGAGAGTCCAAACAGTTGATAAAAACATCACACTAATCCACACGACTCCAGTTCATCAATTATCATCTTGTGAAGTGAAAAGCTGCATGTTTGTAAGAAACAAGTCCATCATTAAGACGTTTTTAACTTCAAAACCATTGCTTCCAGCTAAAATACTAGACTCACTATCCATAAGATTGCTTCCTCCAGTCCTCTCATCTGAATTGGGAGAGAAATATGCACAGATCAAGCACTGTTTACAAGTGAAAACAGTTCTAAAAAATTATGTTGGTGAATATTGAAGTGAGAGGACAACAGGGGATGGACGTTTTCACTAGAGGAAGCGTTATTATGGTTTATGGACTTGTATTTTGGCCAGAAGTGACAGTTTAACGTTAAATCGCCTTTCAATGCTTAAAACAAATGTGTTTCTTTCAAACATGCAGCTTTTCACTGCACAAGATATTAACTGATGGACTGGCATCGCGTGGATTACTTGTGGATTATTGTGATGCTTTTATCAGCTGTTTGGACACTCGTTCTGACGGCACCCTTTCACTGCAGAGGATCCATTGGTGAACAAGTGATGTAATGATACATTTCTCTAAATCTGTTCTGATAAAGTAACAAACTCATCTACATCTTGGGTGTACTTCAAAAATTAATTAATGCATATAAGAGCAGCTGAATATACATGCTTTAGTACATCACATTTTGTGATTAAACTTCACCTCCAGCTGCGAAAGAGCGTAACCAGTAGTAGTAGTCTTTCTGGACAGGAGCTGGGATCTGAGCTCGAGTCCCTGAGGACACAGCCTCTGTCGTCATGATGGCTGCTATCAGGACTGCAGTACATTCATGTCTTCAACACACTCTGGAATGGAGTAAACAAACGTGTGCATTGGTATTATTATGCCACAATTGATCAGTGCCATGGGCTGGACTATGCACACAGGAAAGTCATATCAGTCATAAACAGTTGGACAGCATTGTAAATGTATTACTTTACGAGTCAATGGTTTGGGGAAATGTTAACAGATTCAGTTGACTAAACTAGAAAGACAAACCAAATCATATACAGGTGCCATTCATATAAGTGAGTAACAGGTTGGGGAAGAAGCCGACTATAAAATTAATTAATTTTACTTCAATGTAATAACGACATTTCCAGTTTCTTTAACATTAATATGGAATTCTGTATCAATACTTGTGTAAAGACAAATTACTCAATAATTAATCAAGACATAATTTAGTCTGGCTCCTAAATGCCTTTAAAAACACTGTGCTGGTACCATAGTATCACATGTCAATACCATAGTAATATACAAGTCATGGAACTGAATGATTACCATATTCACGTCAAAAACTACCATGGTAAATGTCCAGAAAACGTGGTACTTTTTGCTACTTTGTTAAGTTTGTAATTTTCTGGTATGCTTTTTTTCCCCGCAACTTTGGCCAAACGTGATAACATTTCGTAACGTGCGCACGCATTTATAACGGTATTGTAGTACACAACAGCAGTGTTCGCACACTGTTACCTTGGTTACTGCTGTTCATTCCGTGCGTCAACCGTTCTTATTAACTTACACCAGAGACAGATTTCACTTCTCATGCAATGTAATGAAAGATTTCTCTCCTCGTGCAATTTACACTGGACTGTTTGCATCATTCACAAACACAAGTTTTCAGTAGCTCTGACCTGAATTCTTGGAAACAGATGAAATAAATTCTGGCTAAAATCAAGGTCATTGGTTACACAACTGTATACTATATGTGGACCTGTGTGATACTGAAGCGGTCAGCTCTTCCCGTTATCAACACTGCGTCTGAACAGCGTAAATACTATACGGCAACGACGACAAAACTATTCGCTCTACATTAGAGCCATACGTATTTAGTTATTTGTATTTAAACGATGTACTTACATAAAACACAACTCAAAGAACTGGAATACATTTTTTTCACGTGTTTGTCGGCAGTATCGTGCACATCGTGTCCTTCACTGATTCGTTTCCTGTCGCAGAATTACTACGTATTTGCGTGTCAACACACCGCACCACAGCATTTTATTTTGTGTGATTTTCTTAACATTCATCTACATTACAGTCATTAATCAGATTTAGTATTATAAAATATTACATATAATTTTTGGCAATACTGTGTATTGTAAGTTTTTTTTATTGTTATGTGAATTAAAATTAGGGCTGCACGATAAATCGCATGCGATATTTAATGCGCATCTTGTCAGAAAGCCGGTTCTGTAACCGGCTTTCTGACAAGATGCGCGTTAAACATCGCATGCGATTAATCGTGCAGCCCTAATTAAAATTAATTAATGTTAATCACGATGATGACGATTTTGATTGTTGCTGTTGATTGCATTCATCTGATTATTTTTAGGAATTATTGTCTATATAACAAAACTGCATAATATATAACTATAATAGGCCTATATAAGTATAATAATAAAAAAAATAATAATGTATTGTAATAATGTATTATTATTATTATTATAAGGCACAATAGTTGCCTCACCATAATAATAATATAATAATATATAGTAATGGCAATGCTAATAATTTTAATAGTTATATTCTATTCATCAATTTTTGTGGAATGATTGTCTGTAAATTAAAATGGCCTGATAATATAATAATAATACAGATATAATTGTCATATTTGTATGCTTCATAAGAACAGACTCTCAAGCTCATTCAGACAAAGGCTCTGTTGGATTGGTCAATTCAGAAGTGACGATAGTCATAGTGAACTTGCGTCATTGTGTTAGCAGTTAGCTCAAAGCACGGCGAGTTAGCAGCCTAAAAACTGATATGATAGATAGACTGATTTCTGCACAGATTGACTATCCTGAGAACAGAAATCCAGTCCGGGTTTTCCCGCCGCCTCACGCCAACGTCCATTAAACATCCTGAAGTTGACTGGAGAGTGTAGGTCGAGTCTGGCAGAGGGCTGCCGTCAATGGATTGACATAAGAAGGATTTGCCTTTTATCCGGTGCTTTGGTCTCTGTGGCAGCATGTCAGTGTTACAGCTCAAAGATACGCTGTGAAGACCATATTCAGGCGTGCCTAGGGAAGATCCATCGAGGAGAAATGCTGAAGGATCGGTCGTGTCGTACAGGCGGGGAGTATTATTAGCCCTCAGACAGTGCATCTGTCTCTCCGGTATGTAAAGTATTTCAACTCCCTTCGAAGTGTTCATAACAATGCAGCAACCCACGGATTAAAGCCCCCTTGTTCTATTATTTGCTTCGTATTACGTTTGAAAGTTTGTAGAGCGGTTTATAGAAACTGAAACGAACTGTTGTTAGAGATAAGCGTGTGAGAACGTTAAGCGATTAATCATCCACAACGGCTGTCACAAAACCTAGTTCTTCTCAGACAGCGTTTTCGGGCATCTAGGCGCATGACTCTCAATTTTGCACGCGCCTATGACGCACAAAAATGCTGTGTAGGTGTAGTAGGGAGCTCACTAGCTTTGAAACACAGCCAGTGTATAAACTTGTGCGAGTGTCTTTAGATCCACTTGTCAGAACAAACATGCCTCACACTTACCTAATTTGTATTTACATTTTACTCATGACAAGTGCCAAAACACTTGTTTCACTTGAGGGACACTTCGAGCCTCATATACACAGTTGACACTTAAACAAACGGCTGAACCAAATAAACATGTAAATGTAGGAAGTTTGAGTATCCCTTATAAAAAGAAGCATGATACTTAATTATTACCGTAGTCATAAACCATGGTATTTAACATGCCAATGTCCAAAAGCTATGGTAACAATACTGTTTAAAAACCCTGTAATACCATGGTACTTTTTGGTAGGCATGAGGATTTGTCTAATTAGCATATAGCAATTAGCTCATGTGTTTGTGCACTGAATACATTGTACCTAAAGGCAGCATAATAATATTTCCTTTAGTGTACCAACATTTCACAGTAGCATTATTGTGCATTTTTCCTGACTGAAATATATTCACTTATGTTCTTTATTTAACTTAGGGAGCTGGTTAATGGTAGAAACTGTACAAAGTTTGGAATAGTGAGGAGTATACCTTGCAACTGCACACACAGTCATCAAATTATGTGATATGTCAGACATCATGATTATCAGTTAGTTGATTAGTTTACTGTATGGTTCACATTACACTTCATTAGCTTTTAGTTAATTACCCAATTTAATGGCTTGGTGAGCACAATTTACTTTACTGTGTTTATAAATTTTTTTTAAACATTGACAGACTCATTCTTTTTTGAAATAGCCAGATGCCTTAAGTTTTCATTACAGCCATTAATCACAATTTCCTATTTGCTGGTCTGAGCAGGGGGAGGGACAATCTCATTGTAGAGAGCATTTGATTGGACAAAAATCTGTGTAGTGTAGGATGAGTCATTGAATGCGTCTCAATCATCTCCCTAGGTCGTGTGTTGTGTACATGACATACACTGGGCATTGGTAGGGAGTAGGGGTGGGAATCACCAGACGCCTCATGATACGATATTATCACGATACTTGTGTCACGGTACAATATTATTGCGGTTTTAAATATATTGCGATATTCTGCGATATATTGCAATTTATTACCTTTTTCCAACTTCAAATTATGTCCCCAAAGGAAAACTTTGACAACATCTGTTTTAACTAAAAATAAACATTCCTCAGTTTGTTTATCTCACTTCAGTTTTATTGTTGCAGTGCAAAATGGGATTGTCAAGCAGACAAACTGACCAACACTTTCATTTATTATTTTATTAAATAATATAAAGTAATTTTGTAAGACTTTTTAAATGTAACTAAATTTGAATGATACTGAATTAAAAAAAACACAAGCCAATAAAGTAACCACACTTTTACTGAAAGTAACACAATAAAACTGGACAGAATTTATATTAATATTGGTAACACTTTACAAGTTCAAGTTCAAGTTCAAGTTCAAGTCTGCTTTATTGTCAATTCTTCCACATGTACAGCACATACACACAGAGAATTGAAAT